CCCTCCCCTCCCCCGCACCGCTGTCTGGGAGCCGTTCAAGGTCAGACCTCCTGCCCCAGCCCTGACCATCCCCATCAAGAAGAATATAGAAAAATCTTCTCTTAAAAGTATCTCCAGGCCCACTTAGCTGATGCTTCTAATTCCTCTCTCTGCAGTTCCCTGAAATACTAATCGGTGATTCTGAGGACACTTTCAAGAAACCACCAACTGCAAAAAACCCCTTTGGTACCAGAAGAGGTGTGAGGTTAACAAGCCCGTTAAGTGCAGATGAAGAATCCCATCAGAGTAACAGTCTAGCAGACTCTGTGGAGAAAAAAGAGGTACTGGTCCTTCCCTAGGAGCTCATAAGCATTGCTCCTGCTTTTAATAAGTAGGAGAAAGAATTACAAGGTGCCATCCTTCATCTGGGGTCTCTGTGTTCTAGTTACTTTACATTGGTGGCCAAAACTCTCTGGCTATGTCTACACTCGCGGCTTCTTGCGCGAGAAATATGCAAATGAGGCTAAGCGTGGAATATCGCCGAGCCTCATTTGCATACCTAGTGAGCTGCCGTTTTGCAGAAGAGGCTCTTGTGGAAGAAGGAGCTGTCTACACTGTCCTTTCTTGTGCAAGAAAGACCTTCTTGCGCAATGCCGTTACGCCGATTATTTTCAGGAATAAAGGCATTGTGCAAGAGGGTTTTTCTTGCACAAGAAGGGACAGCGTAGACAGCCCCTTCTGGTGCAAGAGCCTCTTCTGCAAAAATGGCAGCTCATTAGGTATGCAAATGAGTCTCAGCGATATTCCATGCGTAGCCTCATTTGCATATTTCTCATGCGAGAAGCCGCGCGTGTAGACATAGCCTCTCAGTCCAGCTACTAGGTCCCATGAGATGTTGCGTTTCAGCAGCACATCTCAGCAGATGATCTCGGGAGAAATCCCGGATGATTGGAAAAAGGCAAATGTAGTGCCCATCTTCAAAAAAGGGAAGAAGGACAATCCAGGGAACTATAGGCCGGTCAGTCTTACCTCGGTTCCTGGAAAAATCATGGAAGGGATCCTTAAGGAATCCATTTTGAGGCACTTGGAAGAGAGGAAAGTGATTAGGAATAGTCAGCATGGATTCACAAAGGGAAAGTTGTACCTGACCAATCTGATTAGCTTCTATGATGAGGTAACTG